GTGCTTACAATAGTGTGACCTTCAGGCAGAGATGGGATCAATTCCATCCTCCCCAAAACAACACCTACCCTGCTGACTTCGTGGGGAGTAAGTGAAATTTTCTATGTGAAGTGCCCAGAAAAGGCTGTAAGGAGGAGGTGCTCAACAGATGGCCATGACCTCCCTTGGGCAATGTCATCCCGCTATTCAGGGCAGAGCCAGGGCCAGAACTTTGTTTTCTGATTTTCAAGTGTGTGTGTGTGTGTGTGTGCAGTGTATGTGGCCTTATCTCTTTGTTTATCTCTTTGCCACAGGAGCAGTGTAATGTCTGCTTCTGTGAAGTGACATGGTTTATAATACTTTGTAATTATCGCTTTCACAGCACTTAGAGCAGTGATTTTCAACCTTTTTCATCTCATGGCACAGATAAACTCATTACTAAAATTCTGTGGCACACCAAAAAAATATATTATTTTTTGCCGATCTGACAAAAAAAGGGTATAATTTTGATTCATTCACACCAGACGGCTATTGTTGTGTCAGCTGTTGTCATATTTTATTTGACAATCTACGGGAAAAGAGGTCAGTGCCCCTGACTAAACAGTCAGGTATTGCATGGTTTACAAATTCTTGCGGCACAGCGGTTGCAAGTCACTGATTTAGGGGATACCCTTCAGTCAGTGCAGCAACATGGGAAGTTAGACAGGAGTGGTATTGCTAGGCCGACTTCACACATCAGGGAAGGGAGGCTGAGAGTGATTTCCTGCAGTTCCACAGCTAACCAGCGGCAGGGCTGGACCCCCACCCAGACCTGGTGCCTCCCCACCTATGGCTCTTTCCACAGCACACAATGCCTTCCAACCTACAGGCCAAACAGTTCACCCAAGAGATAAGGAAAAGTGAGAAATATGCTGGATCGTTAATGACATAAATAACCAACAATTCTGATTAGATAGTGAGGAGAAAATTGAACTTTGAGATGATTGAGCAAGAGGCAGGGAGAAAACACTGACGAGGCAGTACAGCACCCTTGCAGAAGGAATGTGGGGATTGGGCGATCACTGCGGACCAGAGTAACTCTTTCCTGTCGGAAAAGCACTGGCCACTCAGTAGTTCTGAAATTCTGCAGCCCATTCTTCCCAGTTGCCCCTGCCTCTGCAGCATCCTCACTGCACAGAGTTGCTTCCTCAGACAAGGAAAGCCTCACGTTCTTGGCCACATTTCAAGCTTCAATTTTACTCTTTTGTCTCAAATATTGGTACCGCTAAGGCCTAGAATTTGGATACTCTTAAATTCACTGGCCCTGGAGGCTTGAATATAGGCAGGCACTCTAGTCTCCCTAGAACACACAGAGTTTACATTTCCTAGGGAGGAGGAGCGTCTAAAAAAAGTCACCCCGAGGAAATGAAAGGCTCCCCAAAGGCTTCTGCTCCAGGCTTCATTCTGGTGCTTTAAAAACCATCTGTACCCTCCGATTCTGGCATTTTAAAAAGCCTACCACATCACTCTCCCAAACTGACATTTACTACTCTAACTCTGTGACTATACCCAACAACACTGGATCGTAAACTTTAGGTGAATTGTATGGGATGTACATTCTATCTCAATAAAACTGTTACATTAATAAAAGGGCCACAGAGGAATTGAAAGCCTGGTCTCAAAGAGATATGTGTGCACTCGTGTTTAAAGCAGATTTATTCACAACAGCCAAAAGGTGGGAGCAACCCAAGTGTCCCTTGGCCTATGGAATATTACTCAGCCTTGAAAAGGGAGGAAACTCTGACACATGCGACAACATGGATGAACTTTGGAGACATTATGCTAAGTGAAATAAGCCAGTCAGGAAATGACTAACACTGTGTGACTCTCCTTGTATGAGGCACCTGGGATAGTGAAATTCACAGAGACTGAGAGTAGAATGGTGGTTTCCAGGGTGGTGATGGTGGGGATGGGGGCAGGGAGGCAGGAATGATGAGTTGTTTAATGGATCTAGAGCAGCGGTTCTCATCCTGTGGGTCGAGACCCCTTTGGCGGTCGAACGACCCTTTCACAGGGGTCGCCTAAGACCATCCTGCATATCAGATATTTACATTATGATTCATAACAGTAGCAACATTTACAGTTATGAGTAGCAACGAAAATAATTTTATGGTTGGGTCACAACATAAGGAACTGTATTTAAAGGGCCAGAAGGTTGAGAACCACTGAAGAGTATACCTTGACTTTCTCTACCAATTGACCCCAGAGTTCTGGAGATTGGTTGAGCAACAGTGTGAATGTAATGAACACTACTGACTGGAGACTTAAAACGGTTAAGATGGTAACATTTTACGGAATGTGTATTTTAGCACATTTTTTTAAAGGCGAGGGGGCATGGTGGTGTGAATGCACCATTTCGGGGCAGCACCAGCCTGGATTCCTATGAAATTTCAAAAGATGATGAAACTGAGGACAGAACAGGTTGGAGGATTCCCTGGTATTTCACAGCCTCCAAGTCCCGTGATCTCTCAATTTTGAATATTTTATGGAGTCAAGAGACTTAAAACACACACCTGCCAACCGTCTGTGTTGCTCAGGAGTTACTGTTTTTCTAAGGCCTGGTAAGCTGTAGCCTTGCTGTCTTGAACTTTGAGCTTTAGTTACACATCAAACCCTGGAAGCAGGCAAATGCTGATGCCACAGGAGCAGCAGCAGGTGGCACCAGTCGGGGGCGGGCACACCATGCCCTCTGACGTGCTTGGCCGGTCTGCTGTTCACGTGAAACGATGCCCAGCAGGAGCGGGGCCACCTGGGTCTGCCTACGCAAGTCATTCTTCCCTGATTAATGAAGGTTTAGCGTCCAAGGTTATACAGTGCTGAGAGGAGAGGGAAATTGCTAATCTATGCAGTCTTTGGTGACCCAAATGTAAGTAGTTCTGCGGTAGACCACTGAGTTAGAGTGAGTGAGACTCGCTGTGTGCCCGTCTTGGGACTCTAGGCAAGTTACTTGCCTTCTCTGAACCAGAGTTTCCTTATCCAGAAAACAGGCAATTTCAGAGAGGGGCTCAGATTGGAGATATCTATAAAAAGAACTCAATGCATCATAAGACCTAAGAAAATTAGCTATTATTATTGTTGTCATGATCATAACAAGAATAATTAGTATTAGTAGCATAAGTGAAATTGTTTTTACCATGCAGCTCTCAGCGGGCGGAATGCTTTAGTCACAATTCCAACCACCCCAGTCCTGACCCCAACATCTGTTACTCACCCCACGCTCCGTTCTTTCACCACCGTCCACCTCTACTTCCTCCATTCTTCTTTGACAAAATAAAACCTGATGAAACCTCCCCGGATTGGGTCATCTTGACCTGATCAATCAAGCGCGAGGTGCTTGAATGAGCACCCGGTGGAGATGGGAAACCAGAAAGTATGCCTTTGGGCAGCAAGTGGATTCAGGAGTGCTGATGGGAGCTTTACCTGGCCTCACCCTCCACTATCCTTAGAACAGGCCGTGGCCAAGACTTCCCCAGACAAATGAGCCCCGATTTTGTGTTTCGAACATTTCAATTTCCTTTAATAATCACAGTCGATGTTTAACACTACCCACTTTTAGAACCTATCTGACCTAAACTCTATTTAGACAACCTAGTTCTCTGATATTTTTCCTTCATTTCATTGACATTTCACTTGTTCACTCATAAATTCTAATGTCACACTCAATACCATTGAGCACTTTGACTCCACCTCCCCCCACTTTATGAATTATCCCAAAGAAATATATTCCTGAGAATTTATACTTTCCCAGGATCAGGGTCATTTCATTGTTTTTAGAATGCTCTGGTAAAGTTGTGATTCCACTTTGCAGAGGGGAAAAGTAAGGCTCAGAGAAATAAAGACCACCTTGACCAAGGTCGTGTATTTTTTAAGTGATGGAGCTAAGCTAACATTCCTCCCAACTTCCCTTCGTGAATTCTAGAGCTCAGCCATGCATTAGCTGTTTGACGTAGAGGAAACCCCCTAATCCTCTGTGCCTTGGTGTCTTCGCCAGTCAATTGAAGAGTCTGGAGTAAGAACTACATGGTCTGCAGAGAGCCCTTGTAGCTTTAACATCCTATGCATACAATGAGTATGTGAGCATGATTACAAGGACTGGCTGTTTATGAGCCAATCAGAGGTATTCGATAAGAACCTCCCCACCAGGCCAAGGCGGGAAGGGGAGGGCAAAAGGAAAAAAAACCACACACACACCACACAACTTGGATGAGAAATCTATAAAAGCTGAGTGTTCCCAAAGATTCGTCCTATTTGGCAGCTGCTGCCTCACACACGGCTTCTGATCTCTAAGAGGACGCGCTGCTCACACACTGTAAGTAAAAGAACTTCTTTTGTCTACTTGGACGGCACCAGGGATTAAGGGGTTAATGAAAGCTTGTGGAGGGGAAAGTTTGTTTGCTTTTGTTTTCAGGAAAAACAGGATGGTGGCTGAAAACACCATGATCTGCTGAAACGTTTGTTTTTCCTCACACCTTTCCTGGCAGCAAACTGCTCAAGATTGCTGCTGTTCCCAGTGTGACCTGTCTGAGGGCTCTTTGAGTCTTGGCCTGGGAAAGACAACTTGAATGCACCCATTGGGTTAGGTTCTACTCAGTTTTTGAGATGCCGGCTCATTTCTACTCTTTCCACAACCACTGCTTATTTTGATGATTTATTTACGTATCTGTCACCTTCTGTCACTTTCTTCATTCTCTTCCCACACGGACGAGTGTCAGCACTGAAGTTTCTTTGTCACAGAAATGGACTCTGACGTGTGTTGCCCTTGGCCTTCATCCACTGCTCAGATGAGAAAGTGGAACAGGCTTGGAGACCTCACAGAGCAGCGTTGTCATCTGATTATAAAGTCTCAAACCTTCCACTGGTTTGATGCTGTCTACAACCTTTCCTACTGGCACCAAGCACCTCGAAGGCGCTACAGCTTAAGATATTTGGAACCACTGTATTTAGGTGTATTTGTTCCACTCTCTGAAAAAAAACAAGCAAAAAAACCCAAACAGGCATGTTGTGAAGATATGTTGCCTTTTAAAATAAACTTGACTCTCAATGGTGGCCTGGGGCTCCATTAGCCAGTTGGGACCCTGCTGCCATCATTGTGGTGGCCAAGGTGTCTCTGGGGAAGACCCAGGCCCAGGCTGGACCTGAGGTGCCAGGCTGGGGAATGGGGCGTAGCTGCTAGGAGTTCCTTGCCAGTTTAGAGGAAAGAGCAACCTCTCTCTCTGGGCTGCTGCACGTGTGTTCACAGGCACCAGGGTTCAGTCTGGCAGAGCATCCCACTGCCTTGCCACGGTGGCATTGGGATGGGGGATGAGGCTGTGAGCATCTTCCATCCGTACATAAAAGTGCTGCTCACAGTGCCTGGCCAGCACAGGCTTCCAAAGACTAAGCCCCTGGTGTCTGTCTTCTTGCAAATCCATCTGCCTTGCACATGGAGAAGCAAATAGACTCTCCACTGCCTTATATTTCTCCAGAAGTTGAATATTCATATTTCATAAATTATTATCTTTCCATAGAACCTCTCCTAGGGAGGCAGAAAGAGTCGCACTGTAGGGTTCCTCCTGTTATTTTGCTGAGAAGGATTGGAAATTGGGATTCCAAGTCGTACACCAATAGGATGTGATTTATAAGCCTAAACATCACAACTTAGAAGGGGCATCAGACATATTCTTCCTGGGCCTCTGTCTCCTCGTTTCTCAAGTTGGCAGGGCTGATACAGGGTGCTCCGAGGTCACTTGCAGCTCTGCTTTTCCGTGGTTACCTTCTGTTCATATATGTACATACTCACAACCTTCTCACAGATTTAGACATATATCACCTGTTAATTTATTACATATAATAAATTAAGTAATGTGTAACCCTGTTTAGTAAGAAATCCAACATGAAAAAGTTTAAACAGGGAAATATGAGTCATTCCACCCCATCTCATTCCCTAGGGGTAGCCCCAGGGTGGTTCTTCCCTGTTTATATAGATATACAGACAGTATGTGTGTATACCACGTTTTTAATTTTAAAAGAATGATATTATGTATTGCATGCTTCTCTGAAACTGGATTTTTTTCACTTAATAATATAATGTGAACAACTTCCAATCGCACTCTTAAAAATGTTGACTTGAGCCCTGACCGGTTTGGCTCAGTGGATAGACCGTCGGCCTGCGGACTCAAGGGTCCCAGGTTCGATTCTGGTCAAGGGCATGTACCTTGGTTGTGGGCATATACCCAGTAGGGAGTGTGCAGGAGGCAGCTGATCGATGTTTCTCTCTCATTGATGTTTCTAACTCTCTATCCCTCTCCCTTCCTCTCTGTAAAAAATCAATAAAATATATTTTTTTTAAAATGTTGACTTGAGACCTCAGTGAGCAGAGGCCAGGGGCAGAGAGATCACTCTCTGTCATTCCCACTCCTGCTGGCCTTCTGTCCCCGGTGGTGGACGTTGGCCTGTGACCCTGATTTATGATTAACAGACGGGTAACATTTGCGCTGATGTGGTACAGACCTTTAAACCTTCTGTAGAAGTTTAACTTCCCATAAACAGATTTGGGTTGCTTCGACCTTTCCTCTCTTGGTTTTTCTGGTTGAGTCAGCACACTCGGCCTGAAGAAAATAGCTTGGTGACAAATAGAAACATGGAAGTCCCTTAGGTAGTTCTATTTTAAACAGTCAAAAAAGAAATAATAATAATAGCTTACATTTTCATAATGCTTTATAAAGTATCTTCATGTTTATCACGCAATTCGACAAATTTATTTTGAGCAAACACAACGAGTAGAGTGCTTGTGGGTCACAGGTGATCCATTTGGCAATGAGACAACCAGAGCAGATATTACTGCCATTTAATCCATAATAAACTCAGACTCAGAAATTACCGCTTTGCCCATGGTCCCAGCCAGGGGAGGCAGAGCTTGTCCTTGAACCAGGTCTATTTGCTCTACTAGCAGCAAACGTGTGTGTGTGTCAGATGCTTATGAATTGGTAATGTCAGTGGTGTGGGGATAATGATCTACAGTCCAAGGATTTGGGGTACCTTGAGGATATCATCACCAAGTATTCTGAGGGTGTCCTCAAGGACATTAGAGCCATCTAAGGCTGATTCCTTTCACCAAGCTCACTCTTTCCTTGAAATAAAGGAGTACTGTCCCTTATCCCAACTTTGTGTCTTATTAGCTATTTGTCTTTGGACAAATCATTAAACACTCTTATATTCTTTCCTTATCTATTATATGGGAAGGGGGGAATTCCAGCTGCCTTCTGGGATTATCGTGAGGCATAAATTATATAGTGCATGCAAAGCAAGAAGCAGAGTGCTTGGCAGCCAATGATAATTTGCTACTATTATTGCACTATTTGTGTATGAGTGTATGAGGGGGAGAGGAGGCCATAGGATTGGATAGGAAATGGCTCAAGATAATCTTCACTATGGTTTGTCCTTTTTGATAGCTCATCCTATGCAAAATCACTTCTTATAACATATAAGATTAAAAGAGCCCTGTGAGGTTGCATTTTTAAGACTAGTCAAAGTGGCAGCTGAACAGGTGCAGTGATCCCCTTCAGAGGCCCACTGCCAATCTCCCTTCACTAAAGCAGTGAAACCGAGAATTATTGGGACAGGGATTACCCCACGACTTCAGCACCCTTGGACCCTGGGAATTTCCAGCCCAGAGGCACTTAGGAAAAACCCTACCCATTGGCCTCAAGTGGTCTCATAGGTGTTTGAATACAGGAAAAAAGGGAACTTGCACTCCACCTTGTAGATCCCAACGCTGAAGAAATGTTAGCTTCAAGTCCAAGTGGTGGTCTCTCCTCTCAAGCGTATTGCCCAGAGAATAGTCTGGTGGGCTATAGACTAACAGAACAAAGTAGATAATGGCCACACAGGCCAAAAGCCTCACTGCCCTGCCCTCAAGCCATCTAGGGTACCTGATGGCACCAGAAATCCACAAAGTAGAGAGTCAATTACTGCAGTGCCATCTACCTGTCAGATGCGATGTGTCACTAACTCGCTGGTTCAGTCTCAGGAACAGTCATCCCAAAGGTGCCCTGGAAGGCATTCTATTTAGCATCACCATGAACATTTACCCTCCCACCTTCAGCCATTATGGCTAACTGCAACTACTTAGGCAAAGGGGGAAAACACCCTCCCTCCCAGACCTCATTTGTTTGTGCACTTGTAGAAACGGGCCAGAAATGGCAGAGGGCCTGTAGGGCTAGACTGCACACCCAGCTGCCTTAGTCATGAGTCCATCCGATCCACCCTCAGTTTTGTTCAGGACTCTCCTGCACTCTTTTCCAGACCTGTCACCATGGCCCACAAATTCCCAGCCCTCACCGCAGACCAGAAGAAGGAGCTCTCAGAAATCGCCCAGCGCATCGTTGCCAATGGGAAGGGGATCCTGGCTGCCGATGAGTCTGTAGGTGAGTGCAAGAAGCATCATACAACAAGCATACTCTTGTTTCTACACGTCGCAAAGGCAACTTGATATCCATGTTTTCTTTCCTTTCAGATGAGTAAAGGCTTATGCACACAGGAGTGGGAGCAGAAGGCTTAGGAAGCAGAGACCTTTGGGGGTCCTGTCATTCCAGTTGGCAGATTTCTGAAAACCTAAGACAGAGACTCAGCCTTCCATTTTGAGGCCCCTTGCCAGAGGACATTGGAATTCAGGCTATAGCAAGACCAGGAATTCAGTAACCAGAATGAGGTCAGATACACAGCCCGCTGCTGCTAATAAGAAGTCAGCCAGGGAAGGGCAGAGAGGCAAGGAAGTGTCCACATCTGGCACAGGGAAGCGCTTGTGTCTAAGTAAGCCCGAGAAGGTAAAAACGAGAGCTGTGGTGGGCCCGCACACCACCAGGAAACGATAGAAGCCAGAGAAGTCAACAGTCAGATTGAGGGATGAACCAGAGAGTCTGGGGAGAGGCTGGAGGGCCTTAGCTACCACCTGGACCCACTGGTGGCTTCCCTGACTCAGACATGCCCAGCCCGTCCTCTTCCTGCCCAGCAGCCAAAGGAGACAAAAAAGAGGCAGGAGTTCTGATCATGGGGAGGAAAACCTGGCTGGCTCCTTACACTGCCTTTGCCCGCCCACCCATAGGCACCATGGGAAACCGCCTGCAGAGGATCAACGTGGAGAACACAGAAGAGAACCGACGGCAGTTCCGTGAAATCCTCTTCACCGTGGACAACTCTGTCAGCCAGAGCATTGGGGGCGTGATCCTGTTCCATGAGACCCTCTACCAGAAGGACAGCCAGGGCAAGCTGTTCAGAAACATCCTTAAGGAAAAGGGCATCGTGGTGGGGATCAAGGTGAGTCCTTGTATTCCCCTCACCTCTAACCGCAACCCGGCCAAGTGCCCAGCCCAGGGGCTGTGGCAGGGAACATGTCTCATCATCTGCTTTCCATCACACCTTCCCCTGAGAACCGATCCTCTTCTAGACTTTTCCTCCCATGCCCTCTTCTTTCGACCATTTTCTACAAGGTACTAAATCTCTTAGTGTCTCAATTTCCTCATTTCTAACATGGGAATAATAGTACCTACCTCATAAGATTCTTATTAGGAATAAGGAGGAAATGTGTTTTAAAAACAGTCCCAGTCACAAAATTAGTATTCAGAGCATGATAGCTGTGATTATGAAAGCACTCACTATTCTATCTTTAACTAGGTCTTCCAATACTGCACAAGAGTAAAGTATTCAATAACTGCTTAGACCTCCAGGGACTCATTTAATCCTCCTGACAACCTCTGGAGGCTGACTCAGTTATTCTCCTTATTTTAGAAGTGAGGTGAGAAAGTGGAATTACAAGGGTGACATAACTTGCCCGCAGCAAGGCAAAATTGGAGGCCATTTGAGCCCAGACTGTCCACCTCACAGGCTCATGAACTTAGCCTTTGCTCTGCGGAGAGTAGAGGCTGCATCCTATTCTCTTCATCTCCTGAAATAACACAGTACCTGCGATGCGAAGGTGCTCCACCATGCCTCTTGAATAAATGAATGAATAATTTAAGGGATGCTGCTCTTATACAGAACCTCTATACTCGTATTCCTAGTGCCATCAGATTACTTCTTCCTTCCCAAGCTCCAGGCCTGTGCTTTCCATCCTCTTAGGGTTGACCTTGACCCTCTTACATTGTTCCTTCCAGGTAACATCCCTTCTGCTATGGACTGTTGTGTCCCTCCAGATGACTAATCCATTTTCCTAACTGAACTCCTTGATTTGTGAAAGATGGGAACTATTAGTCAGCACCAGGGGCTCTGCTGGTGTTTTATTTACTGGGATACCTGACACCTGCTAATTACTTGTTAATTATTTAATTCACAGTTGGACCAAGGAACTGCTCCACTTGCAGGAACAAACAAGGAAACCACCATTCAAGGTAAGGATACTGCCCACTGATATGAATCATGCCAATATATGCTAGAAATGAGTAAGTGAAAATAAATTACGAATATCACATGGGGATTAAAGCCACATGCACCTGATTTTCAATCCGAGCTCCTCTAGTTGAGAACTGTGTGACCTCTGGTTAGTCACTTAAGTGTTCTGTGGCCATTCTAGGGGATAACAATATCTGCTTTGCAGAATAGTTTTGAAGATTAAACTAAACAATATATATAAAGGACTTACCACAGTGTGTTGCACAGAGAAGATACTCTGTACCTGGGAATATTATTTTTAGAGATAAATCCAGCAACAGTAGAGGGTAATGGTCCCAGGCTTTGGGATTGGACATACCTGGGTTTGAATCCTGGTTCCATCACTTACGACTTAGATAATTTTGCGAGGTACTTCACTGCCCGAGTAGACAAGTATAAACCACAACACTGGGTTAGCTACACAGAATTTGAATCCCAACTCCATCACTCACACTATGCAAACTTAGTCAAGTCACTCAACCTCTCGGAGCCTGGTTATCCACATCTGTAAAATGAGTATAATATTAACTCTTAGGGTTGTTATGATGACTAAATGAGAAATGGTGTGCAAAATGCATAGAATCATCCCTGGAACATAGCAAGTATACCAACCAAATATTCATTCCCTCTATTCTTATGTGCGTCAAAACATATTTATTAAATCCAGGTCTCTCGGCTAAGTGTTGGGACCCATGTTTACTTGTCTGGTTGTTTTTGGCTCTCAAGCTCTGCTGACTGGAAGCTAAGCCAAGGGAGCACTCCTTCACTTTATCGGCCCCAGGGATCAGGGACAGGGCCACAAAGAAGCCATTCTCTCTTCTGTGACTTACAGGGCTTGATGGCCTTTCTCAGCGCTGTGCTCAGTATAAGAAAGACGGTGTTGACTTTGGGAAGTGGCGTGCTGTGCTGAGGATTGACAACCAGTGTCCATCTGCCCTTGCTATCCAGGAAAATGCCAACGCCCTGGCTCGCTACGCCAGCATCTGCCAGCAGGTGCGCAGGTTTCCCCTTGGGCTAAAAAACAGTAGGCGAGTGCGATCTTTAGAGCCTATCCTTCTAATTTTACTGTAGCCACACATGAACCCTCTTCTCGCCCCGCCAGTGTATCCTGGTGGCATTTTCACTACTTCTGCTGTAGCCGCGTGTGGTAGGGAAAGATGTAGTTGCACAAGCCAGCTAGGAGCCCAAACGGCAGATGCCCTCAACTGCTGTTCTTCTTCAAAGTGGTCAGGCTTTTGAGGCCAGGGCCCTTGCTTGTCTGTGTTCCACCATGTCCAAGACAGGATCCTCTGAGGTCCCCAGGTCAAGGGTGATAGCGCTGACCCAGTCCACATAATTTCATGGAGGATGGAGACCTGATGCTAAAGTTTCCAACATGTGTTGACGTGTCTCTGGGATCCAATTTAGTCTGATTTTATTGTATAGGTGCTGAGTTGTGGGCACCTGGAGATTCCCAATCAGAATTGTAAACACTTCTTGAATTCCTTACTTAACCCACACAAGAGGCATCTTTCTTAGTGATTTAAGCTTGACGGCTCTAAAAGGGTGACAAGCTAGTTTCTGAAGTAGCTGGAGTAGTTTCTAGAATAAGACCTAGAAATTAGGAGTTTGCTTCTATTTTTCCCCATTCCCAGAAAAGCTTTTCTTCCTTTCTCCTTCCTTCCTTCCTTCCTTTTAAAAAAAAAATCCTCACTCAAGGATATTTTTCCATTGATTTTTAGAGAAAGTGGAAGAGAGAGGGAAAAATAGAAAGAAATATCAATGTGCAAGATACATGCCCTTGCCCTTGACCTTGACCAGAATCAAACCTGAGACCCTTCGGTCCGCAGGCCAATGCTCTATCCACTGAGCCAAACTGACGATGGCCCTTTCTTTCTTTTTAATCTCACTGTTCTTTTTTGGCTAAGCCATACTCACTAGATATCTCTAAATTTCTTTGCATTGCCTTTGAGTCACTTACATGATATTTCTCCAAAAGGGCTTCATTTTATACCAACCTCAACTGTTGAATAATCTCTTAAGGAAAGGATCCCCGTGAGCAGAGCTTCACTCTTTCTCTCCCTTTTCCTTTTTAGAACGGGCTGGTACCTATTGTTGAACCAGAGGTAATTCCTGATGGAGACCATGACATGGAACACTGCCAATATGTTACTGAGAAGGTAAGTCCAAATCCTAGTTGAAAAAACTTGCTTTTAAGTAACAGCTATTACTTAACATATATCAGCTGCTATATGAGAAATATTCTCAGTCGGCATCATTATGTAGCATTGAGAAGGTAAGGAGGTATTAGCAAACCTACCACTTTTGGGTACATGGTATGCTCCTTATGAAAAAAGCACAGGACTTGCAGTACCGAGACTAGGCCTTGAGAATCCATGTACAGTGGGGCTTTGACTTACGAGTTTAATTTGTTCCGAGACCGAGCTCGTAAAGGAGCTCGTTAAGGAGCTCATTAACTCAAATTACTCTGTCAACTCAATGCAAAAAATCGGTGGAGAGACAGCTGGTATCTCAAAAAACTCATTAGTCGGGACACTCATAAGTCAAGGCCCCACTGTACCTACTTGTGGGGCCTCAGTTTCATTAGGTGTAAATTAAGAAATTTTAAAATAAAATGAGGCTTACATAAAACACATGTGATTAGAAAGTAATTTGTCTACTTGTGACTTTCTAAATTAGTCACAGTATATCTGCAGGAGAGTGAGAGGCATAATGTAACCTGACCTCAGTTTTTTCCTTGACAAAATTAGGTGGACTAAAATGAGGTCTGAAAGCACTTCTGTGTCTGAAATGTATGTGTTTATGACCACTTAGCATCTAAGGGGAAGGAGAATGGAGGCCAATTTAGATGTCCCCTAACTAAGTCCAGGCAG